TTCTTTTCTAGGTTATTCCATGTCGTCCGTTAGTAAACTCTTCTTTTCTAGGCTCTTCCACGTCGTCCGTTAGTAAACTCTTCTTTTCTAGGTTATTCCACGTCGTCTATCAGTTTACTAGGTTACGATTTTAAGCATCTTTTATAATTGCTCGAAATTCTTTTCACGGAATATTCAAAATGAATAAATTCCCCACCAAAAAATTTGTATGTGTGTTTTAATGTTAAATCCTTTATGCTTTAAGAAAACGAGTTTGTTTACGCAGATGCTTTGTGAAACGTTACGAAAGTGTTATGATGATGAAGCGAACGCACAATCAAAAGCTTGCAACTAGAGCAAGTTGTGAAAAAAATCACTTCAAAGCAAATCAAAAATCAAGCTCACTTCGATTGTTTCCTTCCACTAACGCAATAGTGTTCACCAGAAATTCTTTCTAAAGAATGCTCAGATGGTTAACAAAAAATGCAATCTAGGTCTTCAGCATTGTACGTGTTAACCTCTTGGTAAAGAAAAACTGAATTTATGACGAAAAAATTCCTAGGTTTTGCATCGTCGTAATGCCTTTGTACATACTGCCACAGTTATTCATCAATTTTTCAGCGAAGCATCTTATTCAACTAATCCAATGGCCCCAGAGGACTACTTTATTTTTTCACGCTTAAGTTAACTTCTTTATGGGAATTGTCCTAAGTAAATAGGAATCGTTGCACCGTAAAGACCCATTCTAATATGTAGTCTAATAAGTCAAGTGACGTGAAACTTTTTTTATCAAACAATTTAAGAAAAAAGAAGCAAAAATATTACACTTAATGCATTATATAAGATAATATATTATATAGTTGAATACTCTACCCCACTTCACTTAATACTGTTATTCAAACAACGACTTTTGAAAATATAGCGTTATATGGGAAGTGATTGAAAAAGGGACCACTGTCCCATCCGAACCGTTTTCAATAGCGTTCCTTACCCAAACATATAAAAATTTACGACCTATGGATTGAGCACGAGCAAACAAGGCAGACAGAGTCGCCTCCTGAATCGTACAGTTGTCTGTCCGTCCATCTGACTTGTGTGCCTATAGGAATCAGAAAGTGACTCTGAGTTGATCGATATAATAAAATATAAGTCCTTCTGCGCAAAGTTAATATAACCTTGTCTAAGTGGCTCCTTTAACTGCTCTTAAATTAATATTCCAACCAAGTGCATTTTGAAAACAATGAAATGTTCTCCTTAATCTTTAAACAAAGCGTCGGATCAGATTGCATAAAAGACTTGCTTCGTATTGTCCATTTGAAAATTTTTAAAGCGAGAACGCTCCCAAGTTATCTTCAAATGAATCTGATGATGAGAGTTAACTTTTCGCATATACCTTCTTCCCAAGGTGATCTATTGTGCTTATTACTCTTTTGTGGAGCGGTATTTATCGTAAATATAAGTTGGGTGACGAGTGGCGGCTTTAGCGGACGTTGAGCTTATCTATGGTTTTCTTGAATATAAATGCGTTTGGATGAATTCTGTGTGGGTTCTGTATAGCTGGCAAGTAAGCGCCGCCTGAATTCAAAATGGAAAACGACAAAGACTATGCCCTTGTTGTCGTCTTATGAGCTGGTGAAGAAAATAGTTGATGATGCTTAACCGATTAGGGATCAAAACCAGAATATAATAGCATAGAGTAAAATTATTTAGTGGAAGATCCAATAACTGGTGGCGCGTAGTC